TTTTGGATTCTCTCTATTGTCTGTGCCAGAATAATTTGTGAATTTGTGCAACACGAAGCCAATACTGAGTAGGCATAATGGTTAAGAGTGAAGTTGACTTTTTTTTAGTATTACTCAAAATAAATCTGACCAAAACCACAAATGTATACGAAACCAGTTCTAAATGTACATTTTTGGAAATGTAGATGTTTGATATTTGAAATCAAATAAATATATAATAATATAACTAAGCTTCGGTTGCCCACTAAAGCTAAGCCTGGTCAGTACCTGGATGGGAGACCACATGGGAAAGCTAGGTTGCTGCCAGAAGTGGTGTTAGTGAGACCAGCAGGGGGAGCTCGATATGTGGTCTGTGTGGGTCCTATAGTGAAAGGGACTCCTATACTGCTCAGTGAGCACTGTCTTTCGGATGAGATGTTAAACCGAGATCCTGACTCTCTGTGGTTGTTAAAAATCCCAGGATGACCTTCGAAAAAGAGTAGGGAATTAACTCTGCCATTCTGGCCATTTTTGCCCACGGGCCTGTCTATCATGGCTACCTAACCATCCCCATATCATAATTGGCTTAATCACTCTGCCTCCTTTCCATTAATCAGCTGGCATGTGGAGAGCAGTCTGATGCAAAATGGCTGCCATCGCGTCTTCCTGGTGGATGCTACACACTGAAGGTGGATGAGGAGATTCCTCCCAAAAATGTGAGAAGTGCTTTGAGTGTCCAGAATGGCGTTATATAAATTTAAGAAATTATTATTATTAAGCTTGATAAATGATGTATAATATGAAAGGAGAGGACAATATTTGCCTGTGATACATTCACTCACTCACTCACTATCCTTAGGCTGCGTTCACACCAGACGCGGTAGAGGCATCAATATTAACCTCTGAGGGCTTGAGTGTCCAAATACTTGGACAGCACATTTTAGCTATATAAAATTTTGGCTATATAAAATACATTTAATGTTTTATATTTTTTATAAGTTTTTAATGTTTTATAGGTTTTTCAGCAAATGAAATTTCCCAAACACGATTTTTAGCTGTCCAAAATGGGAGAAAAAAAAATAGTTGTAACTCTCTGATAGTCAAAACATGTTCAAAAAATGTTCTATGTTAAATATGCATTACAAAAAAGTCAGGAAAAAGTGTTTTATGTTAATTCGGACCACGAGTTCACATATATAAACATAATTTATTTTTTAAATGTACATTACATCAAGAGATGATGCTTAGGTTTTTATTCTAATTAGGTTCCAATAAGGCCAAATATTAAAGAGAAATAAAAAAAATGCATTTAAAAAAAGCACCTTGGGCCTTAGAGGTTAACACATGCATCCCGTGTTTTGTGCGCCGCGTTAACCAACCAGGAGCTTGCTCTTATATGGGTGTAATTATGACATAGCACCTGTTGTTGGTGTCCCGGGGGGAAAATCTTTCTGCTGACACCGACAATAGTGGATCAAACTGGGCTCGGCTCAGTCGGAAGCACTGCTGAAAGCTTCCATCATCCAGGTATAGTTTCAGGAGTTTATGAACTCACAGAGCTGGGTGCACATCTGAATTAAGGCTTAGTCATTGATATATCAGGGGTCGCCACAGCAGAATGAACCACCAATTACCCTGGCATATGTTTTATGTGGCGGATGCTTGGTTGAGATACAGCTGTTTGAAAAAATAATTGAAATACTTTGAAAATAGCCTAAGCATTTCTATAAATGAAGTGCTTAATGTATATTACTGAAGTGCTTAATGCATATTACACACTGTTTCAACAGGGGCCACATAGTTATCTGATATATGCCAATATATGCAAATTACAAATATGACATACAAATTCATGTTTGAGATTCACATTTATAAAATATATGACATATATATGCAACATATATTTTCAAAATAAGAATAGCTGCTTTTATATATTGTTTTTAAACCATTGGATTTGTAAATATGTACATATATATTAAAGTATATTAGCAGTAATTTTATATATTTTGAATTATATTTATTTATTATTATATCTAGACGACACAAATTTTAGTATGTTGATATGTTTTGTAAAATGAAGTAAAATTGTGATTTGCAGATTCTGTTGAACTTTTATTTAAATTACAAAAGTACAAAGAAAAACAAACATTGTTTCTTCGCAAATTTCTCCAACGTAAATTTAGAGGTACCGGACAAACTAGTAACAGCGAAAAAGCCGTCCATATAGAAGTAAGCGGTCAGCTACTAGGCGAGAAAAAGAACGGCATTGTACCACCCCCTGTCCTTCGTCATAAAGACTAAATGCAGCCATATATAGCTCTGGCTACATAATTTGTGATCTCCAGAAATGTATATAGGGCTACGTTTTCAGAATGAGCCGATGTTGGTGAATTGTTAGGACAAAAACTAATTTTAACATGGAAAATATACCTTATCACATGTTGCAACGAAGCGTTGCGTGTAATTAGGACACGGTGAAAGAAACCATTTACCTGAATGCAACACTCTAAAAATGATGGGAGTTTTTTTCAAACCAAACTTGGGTCAAGCATAGACATACGGAAGTTAAGATTGTACTTTTGTCCCCTATGGTGACGTACATCCAATTGAAATGGTTTCTGAAATGAGAAAAAAAAATGTAGGGCGGTGTTTGATTTTGGAACCAATTGGATCATTGGAAGATGCACGTCATGATTTGGCCAAGAACGATGCGATCCAGGATTGACATCTATGTTGATCCTTAAACATAATTTTTGTTTGAAAATGTAATCCATAATAGATATGATAGATAGATAACAAAAATTCCTACCCTAAACCCAACTGTAAATGTGAATTATTTACAAAATCAGAAGGGAAAAATAGTTGCATAACACTCATGAAGAAGTGCATAAACCTAACCGTAAGCCTAAACTTAACATAAACTGTAAACGTATGTCTTAATTGTGATTGCCTGATTGGAAATGTGGTTCCAGGAACAACATAGATGATAATCCAGGAACATGTCCTACTTGGTGAAATAAGGGGTCCGTTCTTTGTACGTGGATTACTCAATTAGCTGAATTTGGTTATTGATTTCATATAGCAACAGGTCTTGTAGCTCAAACCTGCTCTGGAGCAGGCTCATTTCATGTAAACAGGACTAGATCAGATCATTTCACGCAAAGGTATTACTAGTATGTACTGAATGCTGATATTTTATTACTGTAGTAGTTATATACACTGGGGAAAATAGTAAAATGGTTTAAAAAATGTTATATATATGAATACATATATATAGTTAAATATATATATACACATGTAGTGTGTAACACAGCTCTAAGTGAAGTGAAATATCCAGCTGAGGCTTAAATCTAAAAGTACACAGTGTTTAAAACTATTGATTCATCTATGAAAGAGTCGACTCAAAGTGCTTCAAATGAATCGTCTTGATAAGTCTTTAGCCGTTTCGACGTGAATTGGTTACGAAACTTAAGCCCTAGATTAGCTTCGAGCTAAGGAGGGGTTTGGGACACTTTCAAGACCATGAAAGTGTCTTTTGACCTTGCATGCATATCAGCCTGTTGTTGGAGACCCTTAAAACAAAAAATATGACCCTTTTTAATGTATAATAGGGGCTCTTTAAACAGCCAGTTATTACACCAATTGATCCGTTTTAAATGTAAAACTAAATCGCTAAATACTATTGACACAGGAAAATGTAAAGCATGTAGCCCACAACAAATGTGGAAAGTTATGGTCTATCATATTAAACAAATTAACATTTACGTTTAGTAAGAATTTGATGTAATTTTTGCTTACATGGATAATTGAATATTAATCAGATGATGTCATTACGCTGTTATGCCATTAGTCAATTGTTGCACTGCTGATCATGATTTCGAGGATTAATAGATCAGTCCTTCACAACACATGCAGCAATCTTAGATTGCCTCATCCAGACATTTTAATCTGATTAGCGAACTTGTTTGAAGAACCACATTAGCCAGAGATCAGTTATCAAGATTAAAAGATCCAGAATCTGCCAAATCATCTTAGATCATTTAAGCGAGGTACAAAGAACGGATCCCAGCTTGGTGTGTTTAGCAATCTGGTGGAAGATTTGAATGTCAGTTTGCACTCAGTTCTGGAGGAATCACCATCGGCACCCTCAGAACAGAACATTTTCATTCTTTTTGCAAAATTATGAACTGCACAGATACATTGTTTATAACAAGCACTGCTATACACATACACAAATAAAAAGAGTACATTTTGTTTTCATGACGACTTAAAATGATATTTTATATCTGACCCAAATTTAAGTTGAAAAAAAAAATCGAAACTTTATTTAGAATCAGATTCATTGACTTATAAATCTTGGCATCTACAAACATAAAATGGAAGGCTGCCTGCAGTGGACGAAAAAGAGAAGATGGTTCTGAATGCAAAGCAGCTTTCTACAACTAACATTTACTTCAAAATGAGGCCTGTGATTTGTAGGATTTTACAAAATGCATCCGAAGCAGCACATGTAATGACAAAGAAAACCAAAAAACATACTGGATGCTTATGTTCTAAGTCTATTTGAAAGCTATGAAGCACACTAGGAGCGTGAATTGAGTTGGATGCTTTGTGGACAAAATCAGCAGCACTTGATGAGATTTGAGCTGGGAACGCACCTTTGCTGTTGTGTTATGGAACCTTGGAGTTGCTATAGGGTTGATATAGAAAACTGGTTTTGTGTAAGGTTGAGGAGGGTGGGGATCAACCTTTGAAAAGAATAACAAAAATACACTTTGTTTGAATTTGCTCTTGCAGTGGAAGAATAGAAATGGAACAGTGAGATGGAAGTGGCTTGGCAACACTGATTCAACACTGACTGCATTCTTTCCCAAGTCCAAATAGACGCATCTAATCACAATCAGTATCCGTGACTTCATTTCTTCACTTCAGACCTCCAGCTGCATCACAATTAAATCGTAAAATCTAGGACCTTGTAAGATGAGATGAGAAAGATAATTAGAGATGTTGCTGTGACTTACCCTCACGAAGCTGGCAGGGAACCAGCCCTCCTCGTCATCGATTTGCCCCCACCACCAGTCCTTATTGGAGGCGTCTAGGACTTTGATGACATCTCCCGCCTTGAACGCCAACTCCCTCTCGGCCATCGTCACGTGATCCCATACTGCTTCCGCACTGACCACTGAGCCTCCGCTGATCAACTGCAGAGAAATAAAATGACCTTGATGGAGAAAAGCTCCTTTTGTTTTTAAACACACATTCCTGTTTGTGTAGTTGGTCAGAAAACCAGCAGTCCAATCTTAAAAAATTATGCGATGTAAGGCTTTATGGTTGTTCAAACACAGTAACCCAATGTTTTTAAGAATTTTGAAGAGTCATAAAGTCACCTTAAGTTAAGTTGACCTTTTTTAAATCCATTCAGCCAACTTCTGGGTCTGGCGGAATCACTTTTAACTTACTGACTTACTCCCAGGGCCGTTTATATCGAAGTTGATATTTAGCCGCACCATATTGGTGTTTCGGAACATCTAGTTTTTTTGAGGTTAGTTGCTAGCCCAACGCTCAACCCCCAATCTGGGAACCAGGACATACATACTGTACTTTATATACACTACAGAACTTAACTACATTTAGCTTACCCAATTCACCTACAGCACATGTGTTTGGACTGTGGGGAAAACCAGAGCACCGGAGGAAACCCACCACAACACAGGGAGAACATGCAAAAAGCTTTGCATAAATCATTGAATTGGATTAGACCAGGGGTCACCAATCTCGGTCCCGGAGGGCTGGTGTCCCTTCAGGGTTTAGCTCTAACTTGCCTCAACACACCTGCCTGGATGTTTCACGTATACCTAGCAAGACCTTGATTAGCTTGTTCAGGTGTGTTTGATTAGGGTTGGAGCTAAAATCTGCAAAACACCGGCCCTCCAGGAACAAGTTTGGTGACCATTGGATTAGACTGTTAGTATCACTCTCAAAAAATCTGCCATGATATTATGCAGCAGTTAAAAATAGTGCCCAGCTAGGCAACAAGGTAGCAGTGCTATGTAAATTGTGTTACTAGGTAACAGTGCTACTTTAAATTGTGGTTAATGTTAAGTTTCTAGCAGAGGAGCCTTAAACCCATAAACAACATTTGTTACGACATGACTTGAATTTCTGAATTTGTTCATGTATTTTGGTTTATAGAAACTATCAGCAGTTAGGTTTGAATCAATCTTGAAGAGGAATATTGAACAAATCCAAAGCTATGGGAACCAACATGGTCAGCAATCAAGACAGAAATAAGTGCCCTAAATCGTAAACTCTTAATGAAAAAAAATCATAGCACTAGGCAAGAAAATGGCGGAATGAAGAAACACTTATTAAGCAATATAAGCAAGGCTGCTGAATTTCTGGGTGCAACGTTACTTGATTATTACGCTGGAATGAGAGTATAATTCCTACCCATATTAGCCTAAAAAACAGCAACTTCTCACTTTCATTCACAGCACGTAATTAGAGCTGTAAAGCTTAACTTTTCAACTTTAGGTGAAAAATCAAATCTGTTGGGTACGTCCAATAGGTACCGAAAAAGTCCACAGAGGGGGTTGATCACCAGAATGGGGAAGTCCTAGAGTAAAGTGAGAAAATATGATACACCGGTGTTTTGGAATATGGAAAAACTTTAGTCTTTAGACTGATTTAATCTGTTTTTATATTATTTGTTTAGGTTTTATTCATACTTGTCACTTTTATTCATGTTTTGCCACTGAAATGTGCTATATAAATAAACTTGCCTTGCCTATATTGCTTAAAAAGTGTTTCTTCATTCTGCCATTTTCTTGCGTAGTGCTATGATTTTTTTTCATGAAGAGTTTACGGTTTAGGACAATCATTTCTGTCTTGATTGCTGACAATGTTGGTTCCCATAGCTTTGGATTTGTATAATATTCCTCTTCAAGATTGATTCAAACCTAACTGCTGCTAGTTTCAATAGACCAAAATACATGAACAAATTCAGAAATTTAAGTCATGACGTAACAAATGTTGTTCATGGATTTAAGGCTCCTCTACTAGAAACTTAACGTTAACCACAATTCAAAGTTGGTTCAGGCTGATAAGAGCTGGTATAGAGTAGTCAACATTTTAAGTGGATCAATACCTTTCATCAAAGTTGTCCTAAAACTATCGAACAACACCCATTCTTGTCGATTTTGAAAATGTTTGATCTACTTCAAATGTTGATGAGTACTGTTGTGCTGGTCTAGATACTGGGTTTACGGTTTGTCTTGATGTTTGTGGCCATTTTGGATTTGTTCAATAGATGAAAGACACACTCAAACCTAACTACAACCCTGAGTTCATTCCAACTACAGACTAGGACTGCTCCCAGTGGCATTATTTCAAACAACTCATTCAAATCAAATGTCATAAATCAAATAACTATTCTGCAGTCTTATTTCCATTCACTCCAAAAAGCGACAAAGGTTTCTATTTACCATACATTGTAGTGGTGGATGCCGGTTGAATGTTAAAATGATGTCTGATAAAGAGATTGTGGCAATGCAACAGGAGTTTCAATACACTACACTAGGTGACCAAAAAGGATAATTTATTCTGCTTAAAGACAACAGGACTCAAGAACTGCTGCCTGTGATCATTTTTGCTGGGAATATATATGCTTAAACTGTAATACGGCAAGAAGAGGAGGGATCCCAGAAGAGTTTGCCATGGAATAGAGGTTTAGGTCGATTAAATGACAGGAAAGAATTAGATTTATTTCTAAATATTTCACTTTTATGTTATTAATGTTGTATATATGCTGTACACTAATGAATCAGAGAAAAAGGAAATGATTCAGTGACAAACAGACGTATTTACAATCAGGAGAAGCAATAAAACCATTTCTCATCATACGTTATTAAATGCTGTTACTGCCCAGCAAATAATTTTGTGTTTAATAGACGTCTAAAACACATCTAAACGTAGAGAGCTAATTTAAAACAAGGCTAAACTTGAGCTGTCAGTGAAAATCTACCAGATATCTAAGAACAGTTCAACACAAGACTAGTCATCAAATAGACAGATTAGACAGACTTTATATGTGTTGTCATTTATTTCTATTTTTTTGATGACTAGTCTAGTTTTGGCCTATTCTTAGACCTCTATTTATCACTGACAGCCCAAATTTGGCCTTGTTTTAGATAAGTCAACTATGTTTTAGGCATGGGCCGGTATAAGATTCTGACAGTATGATAACCTTGGATATAAATATCACGGTTTCACTGTATTGTATTTATTGCTCTAAAATATATTCTTTTTTTAAATGTCTGAGTAAAAAAACAAACTTTCCCCCCTTTGTGCACAATATATTTTAATTTGGGAAACATTTAAAATATTTTGAAGCAGTAAACATGTCAGGCTAAATAATTCAAATGAATTATGAACTTCTGCTGTCTGCATTTGTTTAGTAAGCAGATTTTTTTTTTTACAATTGAAAATGGCATCTTTGGAGATCTTTTCTGCTGGAGATACTGGTGTCCTAAAAAACAACAACAAAAAAAAAACTAAATAAATAAAAAATCTTACTCATACCTTAGGAACGATATGGCAGAATATTGACGGTTTTTAAACCTTGACTTTTCCAAACCATGGTATACCTTAAACATGGTTATCATCCCATGCCTACTATAATTAGATGTTAATTAGACGTCTATTAGACATCTTTTAAAAACAAAAAAGCTTTCTGGGTGGGCTGTTCCTGTCATGTCTGCTGTAGTGCCATCTTGTGGATTTCTGGACACTAGTTATGTTTTGGTTTGTTCCTGTTTTGTAGTTCACGTGATCACTAATTGTTTCCAGCTGTCTGTCATTGTCTAATTATTGTTGTCTTTATAAGCCTTGTTATGATGTGTTTAGTTTGCCTTTGGATTTTTGCTGTTTTCTCGTGCACCCTGTTCACCTGATTCTAATTTGTTTTGTCCGGCTCTTATCTGTACCTAGTCTGCTCACTGACTCATCGTTTTGGTTCGTTTGTTTGTTCACTTTGTTTCATGTTATGATCATACTTTTGAATTTCTGTTCTAAGTTTGTTTGATACACTTTTGTTTATTGGGTTGTACTTTTGTCTCTGTTCGATTTTTGAACCTGGCCTGTCCCCTTATTTATTATTAAAACTTCTATTGCTGCACTTGGATATCTCTTGTATTTTGTAAGCCCATCGTGACAGTTCCCTGATAAAAACTTTAAGCATCAACCACAATTACAAGATGTTCCAGGATGATTTATGCTGGTTAAAGCTGATATAATACCAATCTAGAGAGTGAACCAGCATAATCATGCTTTTCTGTACCAAAACTGAGCTAGTGTACTAGCACTTTCCATAAGGGGACCTCCAAAGCAGCAACCAGCTTGCAAAACATATGTATTGCTGGTGAACCGCATTGCTTCATTTTCATCAGGGTCTACCGTGTTCAGCAGCTCAGAATATCTCAGCAGCTGTTTATAAGCTGGATTTATTCACAGCACACCTTTAAGCTAAGCTTTTAACCTCAGTCTCACACTGACTGCACACAACGTCTCAAACACCAATATTTGAACAACTCCTATTACTCTTTGAATTTTTAAGCATGAAGACACATTATAGGGTGTTTTTTTCATATTTGTAGGGCAATAGCTGATATTTTAGCCGATAAATGTAAATATTCATGATTTTATTTTAGAGCCTTGCCTTCAGAAATGCTTTAACTGATCTCTGGACTTTATTAATCAGTTATTCTTTTCTATGGCCAACTTTCTGTTATATAAATATAATATACCGCCTGACGAAAAAAAGCATAAATAAAACAACCATATCACTGAACATTAACAAATACACTATACCAGTAACATCATAATAACAAAAATAAAGCGGTTCAACCAGTGAAAATAGTACTTTTTTGGCTCAAAGATAAACTTGTTATCAAACCAATAATGGTCACATTACAAATATCATTTATCGAACTATATAAAATTTTTAGTCCAATTTACCAATTTTTGAGCCCATATTTGAATCCATTAAGCCGACCTCCAGGTCTGGCAAGAGTACTTTTAGCTTAGCTTAGCTTAAATCATTGAATTGGAAGAGACCATTAGTATCTTGCTCATAAAAATTCAAAAAAGTGTAATTTTCCTATTTAAAGCTCGACTCTTCTGTAGTTACATTGTGTACTTAGAC